TCTATCCACTGAGCTACGAGAACTCATGGAGAGCAAGGCCATTTAACTGAGTTCATNCCTTGTGCTTGTGTTTGCGCTTGTGCTTATGCCTGCGTCAAGGCGTTTTCACGGTAAAATAAGGATTCTTGTGTTTGCGCTTGCGTCGCTAGTGAAACATAGGCTTTAGCTCCAGTTACGGCGGATGCCTCATGATCAGGACTATGACAAGTAGGTGAGGTGTGCGGGCCGAGTGGTTTAGGCGCTAGAGATTTTATTTGTAGCGATTCCTGTTTGAAACCTTCCATCTTCGCACTAAGCTCTAACTTCCGGCTCTGGACAAACCCAAGTCGAAGAAAACGCCATATTTTAAAGGTTGAGTTTTAGATAAATGCTGCAGACAATAATTCGAGTAGCTGCGCTTATTTGATCCGACTTTATCGAATTGATTTTCATCGTTTTTTAGGGGTACTAGTATTCTTTTAGGTTCATAAACCATCAAGAGAGGTGCGGTGCCATAATAGTTATATAAACTGGAGTCCAGATCTTTCCCTGGCCGGGTTCATTGTGTTGTGTTCCTTTGCGAGGCACTTCGCCATTACGGTGCCATTCTCGACCCAGGTACAGAAATTGGCGCCGATTAGCTAACATACTATCGCGGGGGAGAAACCGGGCTAAGAAATGTTGGTGCACCGTATTCTACTGTGTTAATTGAAAAGTGCCAAAATTGAGAAAAATTGTTTGGAGCTAGCGGCGTCAACGTAGACTGCAAAACAGTCGTTTTCGGGCGTTTTCGGAAGGCGCGAAGCGCAGTAAGCGCGACCCTCGCGTGTGGAGCGCGCGAGCCTCACACGCCCGTAGGGCGTTTTAGGCGAGAAAACGACTGTCGGCTTTTCATACAACGAATTCGTTCTAAGCGGGGGTCGTATAATGTCACTGAGGTGACAGAAATTGCTTGACAGCTCCACCCACATCTTCCAGCGGTTATCAGTCACACGCGACCTTGAGCGCAAAAGCGTCCAGACAAAACCTAAGTTTTGGTGGACGTCTCGTTGCCGACTGTGTGCAAAATTTACCTGAAAAAGTGAAACCTTGCAGCGGTCCACTCGTTAAAATTATCNTACAATGTCACTGAGGTGACAGAAATTGCTTGACAGCTCCACCCACATCTTCCAGCGGTTATCAATCACACGCGACCTTCAGCGCAAAAGCATCTAGACAAAACCTAAGTTTTGGTGGACGTCTCGTTGCCGACTGTGTGCAAAATTTACCTGAAAAAGTGAAACCTTGCAGCGGTCCACTCGTAAAAATTATCATTTTTCCTTCGGTATGTACAGCTAGCTCGCGAAATATATTGGCATTATTTATTCGCTTGTCGGGGTTTTCAACAGCCATTCCCATGCATGAATGACCCCGAGAGCAACCTAATCTACACGCAAACAAATTATTTCTGCACGTATTTTTCCTGTTTTTCTTGGGGCTACAGACTGAACGATACTTAATCCTACAGAACTTATAACTTATTACCTTACAAAATTATAAGGTTTTTAAAACGTTTAAGTCTTGGTCAGTCCGTAGCCCCAAGAAAAATACGGGCAGAAATAATTTGTTTGCGTGTATATTTGCTTGCTTTCGGGGTCATTCATTCATGCGAATGGCCGTTGAGAAACCCGACCTGCCCGTCTTCAGTTATAAATTTCAAGGAATATTGCCAATGTATTTAGTGAGCTAGCCGTTCATACTGNAGGTTTATAAGACATTTAAGTCTTGGTCAGTCCGTAGCCCCAAGAAAAATACGTGTAGAAATAATTTGTTTGCGTGTATATTTGCTTGCTTTTGGGGGTCATTCATGCATGCAAATGGCCGTTGAGAAACCCGACCTGCCCGTCTTCAGTTATAAATTTCAAGGAATATTGCCAATGTATTTAGTGAGCTAGCCGTTCATACTGAAAGTAAAACGATAATTTTTACGAGTGGACCGCTGCTAAATCGCTCGCAAGCGCATCCAAGTCAACGTCATCTGTTTTCCCGCAAGAATTACTGTCTTTACTGTGAAACTGATGTGGCGTCTATATCTTGATGAGGTGTGAGTGACATTTGATGACAGATTGCATCAGAATTAAACCAATGGGAATTTCCCGTTGCTGGAAGAACGGGTAATTTTGAACGAATTTAACTTATGAATGTCGGACAGTCATTTTTTTGAGCATCTCTCCCCATTCTCCCTTGTCGTTTTTTACACTTGCTCAAGGCCTTTCGTTCAAATATTGACCGTCGCTCGTGTTCACAAAAAATATGACTGTTTTGCAGTCTATGATCAATATCTCACTGTATATTATATACCATGGGTCAGATCAGGGCTTCAGGCCAGATCGAATTGCATTTGTAATGCTACCGGAGGGCTTGCATTCCGTTTTCTCGTTATGCATTTTATTTTTAGCATGAGGGTATTGTCTAAACTTTGAAGCATTATGCAAATTACCCGGAACTTATTCTTGCCGACTGGTTTTCGGTTCCTCTGATATCAGTATTATTTCACTCCATAAAATAAAGCAACAAACAACAAGATTTAAGCTTATTTGGTCTTAAATACAGAGCGCCATTAACGACATGGGGCATCTGTTTTGCTTCCCACATTAGTTCAAAAATTAGTTTTCTGCAAATTCTATTCTGACTGTAAGGATTATTAGCATACACACTGATAGACACGTTACACAGGACGACCTGCTTATTACCAGCCATGACAAAGCAGAAACTCGCAACTACCAGAAATTTTGTTGTAGTCAAAGGTGGTCTGATCATATCTTTCTTGTGCTTTCTTTTTACTTTCTTTCACAAACACAAATAATCTACAACCTATTTTACAACTACATGTAGTACTAAATTAAATATTCCTTTGAAGTGTAAACAACTATGAACAATATAAAATGCCATCCAAGGATTTGACCAGACAAAAGCCATTTTTGACGGGAAATTGCCTAAGGGGGGTCTCCCATATGAAAAGGTTGAGGATGTTTGTCATCTTGTTTAGGGTACAAATCAAGGATTCTGGTCTCACTTAGATGAAACGCCAATATTTTTAGCTGTCAAAGTATTTTTTCAGGAAGAACAAATAGTTAAAAAACGTTCTCATTTCCGTTTTTAGGCTTGATTTCTGCCGGTCTCTTAAGTCTGGTCTACCAATACTAGCACATGCTCCATTCATGATCAGCTGCTGGTAATTGCATGTACCTATTCCATTTTAAGTGGTATCATTTAGGGGTCAAATAAAGCTCAAGCCAGGCCAGATTGGTCTCCTTTTGGGGTTTACTTCAAATTTTCTGTTAAGCATCTCCAACCTTTTCATATGGGAGTCCTCCGCAGGGGTTGGGGGAACTGTCTGTTGACCACCCATTATTTCAAGCCCTGTTCGGGGTTTTGGGTTACAATGTCTACTTCCCAGAAACAGCCCTTACCTAAAACACATTCAAAATAATGTTAATGAAATGTAATTTGCTCAGATGTCTGACATTGTCAATATTCATTTCAGTATTTACTTTGTCCTCAATAGCCCATGCTCAATATATTAACATTCTAATATGGTAATAAGGCTTTCTTGCAAACTTCCATAATTGGTGTTGTTTTCTCTGTATCGCAGGTCTCTTGGGGGGGGGGGGTACCAGACAAAGAAATCTTAGAAAATGTGCAATTTTGGGCAGAATGCACAGAACCATGTTAGTATTTTGATATATCAAACATGGGCTATTAACGCTACAATGCTTAATACAGTTTTTTAAAATGATTTATTTTGTTTGGAATCATCAGATTACATATGATACATGTAGATGGGTTGGATTTAAGAAAACTAAATTGTGCCCATAACTTGTGATCAGCTCTTTACAAATTTGAAGGGTCTTGCCACCCAATTTATTGCCTATTGATGATGCACAGTAAATTCCTTTGCCTACTTCAGTGTTTTTAAATGCCTACTTTCCTTGTAATTGTACATAGAACCTGCCATTTTGTTGATGCACCATTCAATCAGAAGTCACCCAGCTATCACAAGCACTTTGATGGATTTTCTTTGCCGGGTAATTATAGAAATGTACTTTAAAGTACAATAAGTGGTTCTACTTCATGTACATATTCTTGCAAATGTGCACCTCTCTTTTTCTGTCAATTATTTTCATCATAAGTTTGAATGCATGTATAGGATGCAAAACCTTGAGAAAATAATTTTTCATGAGATTTGCTAATGTGTGGCTAATGTCTGCCCCTATTATTGCCTTGAAAGGTTTTTTCTTACTAGGCTGATCATGTAAAATATTTAAGGGCTTCATTAAAAATGATAATTACTCCGAGGCAATCTATTGTGTTTAGTACGAATTAATAAATGCCAAATTCACCTTGGCTTTTTTCTGATTGTGTTGTGAAAAATCCACAGTGGTATTGTAAATAAGTACAAAAGTAACTCCTTTATACTTCTAGAATTTTTTTGAACTGAGTCAATAAAACATGACCTAACTTTGTAAGCAGACAAAAGTTAGTAGTGTACAGGAGATGAAATCTACTGGTTATAAACATTTTAAGGTAGTTTTAAGTTGTTTTTGTTCTCTCTAGATTATACCACATTACAGCAACATTCCAGATGTTCAAGTGAGACAAGGAGTTATCAAAGCCTTTAGGCACATTCTCAGTAAAAAGGTTGTAATGTGAGTGACTACAAGATATTGAATTTTTCTTTTGTTTAATCAATAAGTGCTTCTCAATCTGAGTCATTTACTTACTCCATCTGTCTCCTTTCATAAATACATGTAGGTCATTGTCTCCATTGTTAGACAACCCCAAAATGGAAAAAGATTTGCGAAATTTGATCAGAAGTACACTTGCTGAGTTCTGTGATTCAGGTAACAAATACTTTTACAACATATTAATTAAAGTAATAATTTCAACAAAGTGCATTCCCCATTATAAACTTAATTGTATGAGTGTGATCTAGACCAAGGCATGTGCAGCTATCTTAAGAAACATTGTTACATAGCAGGGTTACAGAGTTCCCATTAACGCACAGGTGCGCATTTTATATGCACAAAAAATGAAAAGGATGCACGGTTTTTTCGCAAAGTGTGTTCTTGGGGTGCAGGAAAAAAGTTCCAACTAGTTAGGAAACTGGGTCTGTGATGATGAGGTACAATGGGTTATTCCAGAAAAAATCCACACCTCCCCAACAGATGGGTTTCTGGAAATTCACTTGGAGGGGGGTCAAAGACTACGAAAATCCAGGCAGAAGGGGGGGTTGAACCTAAAAAAATCTTCTTTGGGGATCATTTCCAACTGAATGTAACCACAAACTCTACAGCTCTACAATTCTACGGTTCTACAGCTCTACAGCCCACTTGGATTGGGATCAACACCTTGTGGTGGTAGGGTGGCTTGCATGTTCCAATGACCCCTAGAGCTATGTTGGCAGGAGTCATGTACTCCTGGTAGGGTCACCCATGCCAAACAGGTCAAAAGGTAGGAGCCAGACAAAGAGTGATCCCCTGGTCCTCCAGGTTGGGTGTTGGGCTGAGGGCTGATAACCATCCTGTACAAAAATATATATATATATATATATATATAAATATTTATATATTACAAAAACCAGAAGCAGGGAGAATTCACTGTATCAAGGAGGCGCTGTGACTACCTCGTAGGAGGGATTCAATTACACACAGGAGCCAAATCCAACAGGATGCCCCGGAGCCAACTAGGTCATTGATGCACCCTAAACGTACCCTGAAGGTTGGTAACTGGAATGTACGAAAGCTTTACAGAAGTGGCAACATCGCACAGGTAGCAAGAGAGATGAAGAGGAAAGGTATAGACATCATGGGCATCAGTGAAACGTACTGGATGGGCCAAGGAAAAGTGCAACTTGCAGAAGGAGACACCATAATTTACTCTGAGATGATGACAATCACCTACAAGGAGTAGGTATATTGATGTCAAAAAGTGCAGGTTAGAGCCCTGATAGGGTGGGACCCTATCAGTGAAAGAGTAATTCAAGCTAGGTACTATTCCAAATACATAAAGCGTACAGTCATTCATGTATATGCACCAATGGAAGATACAGACTGACAGGAAAAAGGCAAGTTCTACACAAAATTGCAAGATGTGATAGATGGTATAAATACTCATGTTATGATCATAGTTACTGGAGCCATGAATGCTGACATTTTATACGAAAACAGGGATTATGAAAGAGTCATGGGAAAACACAGACTCTGGCTAAGGAATGATAAAGGAGAAGAGCTTTGTGAAATGTGCTATCTGAATGAGCTAGCTATTACAGGAATGCTGTTACCACACAAGACCATCCACAAAGCAACATGAATGTTGCCTGATAGAATTACCAGGAATCAGATCAATCATATCCTCATCAACAAGCAGTTTAGGAATTCAGTGAATAACATGAGTTTACAGGTCTGCAGATATTGGAAGTGATCATTACCTTGTGTGTACAAAAATTAAGCTCAGGTTGAGAAAAGCACCAAAAGAAAAGGTTGAATATAGAGTGAAGTATAACACAGCTAAGTTGGAAAATGAGCAGTTGCTATAAAGGCATTTAACATAACCCTATGTAATAAGTATCAGGCCCTAGAGAATGAAGAACCAGAAGTTAAAGGAGAGGAAGAAGTGGAGAGAGACTTTTGATTGATGAAGAAGGCATACATAAAGGCAGAAGAAACAGTATTGGGAAGACCTCAAAAGAAGAAAGAGCCATGGATCAGCAAGGGGTCATGGGACCACATGGATCAAAGAGGGGGCATTAATAAGAAGATCTTGAGTACATGCTCAGAAAGGGTTAAGAGAGAGCTTAGGGCAGAATACCTAAGGAAGGATAGTGAAGTGACGAGGAGCAAAAAGGCAGATAAAAGAAAATGGATGGACAATATTACAGGTGAGGCAAAGAAGGCCACAAGAAACCAGCACATGAAGACACTTTATTGGCTTACTGAGACACTAGGCAATGAAAGATCAAGGCAAAGCACAGCAGTGTTAGACAAGAATGGAAACCTCCTAAGTGGAAAAGATGAAGAGCATTCAAGATGGACAGAGTACTTTAAAGATCAGCAGTGCTTAATAGAGAAGAACCAGAAAATCCGATAACTAGTGAAGAAGAGTGTGGATTCGAGTTCAGTGAAATAGTTGAGGTTGCAGTCAATGAGCCAACATTAAGTGAAGTTAAGGAAGCCATAAAGGGTCTTAAAAATGGCAAAGCTTCAGGGATGGACTCTATTACAGCTGAGTTGTTGAAAGCCAACATACCCAACATAGAAAGCCAACATCGAGAATTGTAAAATCAATGAGCAGCACAAGTTCTCACTGGATACGGACTTCATATGGATTTTACAGAAACGGGAGTCGTTGAAGGACGGTTATGATATGGTAAATGCGCATGTAGCGAGTGAAATGATATTAAGAGTCCCTGTCCATAAAAATGGAAAATAACTCGGCAAGGGCCGAAAATTCGATTTCGCTCATATTTTTATGGTAGATAGGCTAGGGCATGACAAAAACTACTGGATAGTTTTTTTGGCNCGAAGTCAACTGAAAATACCGGGTATTAGTAGATACCAGAAGAAAACGTCCAATAACTATGTGACTACAGGACGTTTAAGTTTGTTGTGTTCGTAAAAGTGCTTGAGAGATACTGAACTACTTTTAAATGCACAGACTAAGACAAAGTGCATCCTGTGTTAGATCTTGTGAACTTTCAGCAACAGTCAGGACATTGACATCGAGTGAAGCGTTGTTGAATACCTGCAGAAAAGTATTCACAAGGCTGTTAACTTCAAGCCTGTAAGCCACGAAAAATACTCATGAAGTAAATTAAATTGTACAATCAAAATATTTTGTTTTTTTGGTATGAGCCCTTTAAATAAGCGCCGCCTTCAAATAAGGGCTGCCCTCGAATAAGTGCCGCACCGGAGACACGAAAAATTAAATAAGTGCCATGGCACTTATTCGAGTAAATACAGTATCTCTAAAACAAGAAAAAAATATTCCAAAAAGGAAAACGCCATTCTTCTTTACTTTGAAAAGCCTTTCAAATAAGCAGCAATTATTTTTTACTTCATAGGCACTTTAAACAATTGGCGATTGGTAGGTGTATTTGAACTACAAGTGAAATAAATTTGGCTAAACTATCATCGATGCAGAATTTCCTTGCTGTAGGACTTGGCAAGAACACTTGGAGTTTGGTTCATCAAAAGATTGCACAATCCCACACAATTCCCTGCTTAATCGAAGTTTCTTTCTTTCCACACAGTTTGCCTTCAAAATTTGGTATAATTTTAATTTTCTTTCCTGCACCCTTTTAAAAGGCCAACTTGGAAATAAGATATTTAGTTCAAGTTACCGAAAGTGGTATAGTGATAAATTTGGAGACATATTTTGCACACTGTAAGAAACAAGTCACAGCTATGAGTCCTAAAACGTTTTCATTTTAAGTCACAGCTATGAGTCCTAAAACGTTTTCATCTGTCAGGGGGTGTGGTATTTTTTTCTGGGATAACTCAATTTATTTCAAAAATAAAGCTTTGTTAATTATGTTACCACCCAGTCTTGGTTCTTGCCTCTCACTTGAAAACAATGGAATTAAATTTTAGTAATAGGCAAAGGACCCCTGAAAAGTAAAAAGAACCCCCAATTCTTTGGAACTGGGGGTCCCAAGGACCCTTAACTATCAAAACTAGTGGGAACTCTGTGGGTATTGTCTAGGCAACTGGACCTCATGGTAGGGTGGGCATGGATCACAATTTAACACAATAGAAAAGTAATCTATGAGATTGTTTTTAATACATGACATGCGCTAAAATACTGATTTATTTGTTAATTTTTAATTTTGCATGACCTTGGGGTTTTATAAAATTTAGAGTGAATTTGGTTAGCTGCAGTAATGTTCCTTGTGTCCTTATGAAACTTGTATCTTATTAGTATTTAGCATATGCTGAAGTTGTGGCTTGTGTTCATTCTACCCTATGGTCTCTTCATCAGATACAGTACGCCTCATTAATGTTTTATCCAAACATGTATTAAACAAATTGAAATAGCTGTTTATCCACACAGAAGTAGAGTTTTAAATTTTTAAAAGCCTGAGCATGAGCCCATCTCCCTTAGTAAATCTGAATTAAGTCTCTGTTCATTAAGAATTCTTTATTAATAAATAGAAGAGAAAAAGAAACATGCCCAGAATCATACGCCTGGACTTACAATTTTATATAACTAACTGCTATAAAGCTTATATAGCACAGCTATATCAGCTTATATAGCAGATATAAAGCTTATATAGCAGAGCTAATAGACCCCATGTCTGTTTGTTGGTCTGGCTAGAATGGGATACAAAATATCATAGTTATTGTTATGCTTTGCCATTCTTTGCCTTGCATATTATTTAACTTGAAGGTTCAAAACTTGAGGAATCTTCCACTTCAGCATTTAGCAAAGTGGAAAGCTCTTCTGCTTCACCGTCAAATGACATCCTGGGTTCCCTGGGCTCAAGAATGATGGAGGCAGACACAGGTAGCAGCACAAAGGATGCTGAACTAGTTGATAGTGGTGTAGATGAGGAAATGGAGCCACCTGATGAAGAGGCTGTGTTCTCAGATCCTGATGAAGAGGATGAAAGAGACATAACACCTGTCAAATCAGAGAGCTCTAAGGAGAAGGATTATGAGTTTAAACCAATTGAAAAGGAAGGCATGGATGACAATGAGGAAGGGGACAGTAATGAGGACATCACCGAGCTTGAAGATCTTGAAAATTTAGGAGATGAATTGAAAGAGCTGATCATTAAATTCTCCCAGGAGAGGTTTGCTATAACTTTGCCATAATGTTTGATTTCCTCACTCTTATAACTGTTAAACTACATGTATCTTTGTGCTCAATTGTACTCATTAAATTTAAAAACGGAATTAAAGATCATTAATTTTTTATTTCATTTGCTACAGAAAAGACTTGATGTTTATTTTCCTTAAGAGTGTGTCCATGAGAAAACCAGGCAGAACCAGGCAATGGTTTAAAGCTTTAATCAAGCTTTAGCACACGGTCATCTTAATATAACCCGGAGACAAGGAATAATCAAAGTTGTGCCCAAGAAACAAACTAAACTTTACTTGGAAAACTGGAGACCAATATCCCTTCTTAAAATTGACTACAAAGTAGCAGCGAAGACTATAGCAGGTAGAATTTCCAAAGTTCTTCCCAAACTGGAAATGTTAAAGACCGAAACATCGGCCAAAATGTAAGGCTAGTTAAAGACAATACATGTAATGAAAATAACATCCTTAGAAAACATTCCCAGTATGGCAATTTTCATCGATTTTAAAAAAGCCTTTGATTCTGTGGATTGGAATTTCTTAGCTAAAGCTCTAGAAACCTTTAACTTCGGTCCACAAATCCGAAAGTGGATTAAGACGTTCTATACCAATATCAGCGGCTGTGTTGTTAACTATGGGCACTCTTCAGAGTTTTTTAACCTGCAAAGAGAAGTCAGACAAGGCTGTCCTCTGTCTGGTATTCTCTTTGTTCTATGCACGGAAATTTTAGCACAGGCAGTTATCAGAAATAATGATAACATCAAGGGAATTCAAATCTATTACAAAGAATGTAAAGTATCTCAATATGCAGATGATACTACCGCTTTCGTGTCTGATGCATCCTCTGCGGAAAACCTTTATGAAATAGTGTGAATCTTCCATGATGTTTCAGTGTAGCTAGGGTCACATAGATACAACACCTTGACACCTTTTGATACAGCTTGGCCTTCAGAACCAATATACACTGTACACACTGAGAATCTATTGCAATTATAATGAACACATTTGTTTCAAAAAATATTTTGAGCAAAAATTAGACTCCATGAAAAACCTTCTAAATCTTTGACAGTCAAGAAACCTTACCTTGTATGGTTGAATAATCATTCTTAAAAGCCTTGCCCTCTCCAAGATTGTCTACAATACATCTTTACTCACCTTCCCCTTGGAATTTGCATCTTTGTTTAAATCGGCTATCTCTGAGTTTGTTTGGAATAAAAAACCTAAAATCAAACACACCACAATGATTGGTCCGAAAATTAAAGGTGGCTTAGACCTACCAGATTTCAAAATAATGAACAATGCTCTTAAGGTCACTTGGATAAAAAGACTACACGAAAGCAGCGGTAATGTAAGTTGGAGCCACATACCTCTTTCGCTTTGAAAATACGCAGGAGGTTCTTTTTTATTTGAATGGAACTATGATTTAAAATATCCCATTAAATTTTACAAAGACATCTTGTATATCTGGCAGACAATAAACCAACACACTCACAAAAACAAAGAACAAATACTAAACGAAATCTTGTGGAGTAACCGCTTTATTGAAATCGAAAGTTTCTCTGTCTGTTACAAAGTTGGCATAAAGCAGGAGTGATCAGAGTCAAAGACATTTTTTGTAAAAATAACTTCTTAACTTTCAATGAGTTTTGCCGCAAGTTCACAATCAAAACTAATTTTCTCGCATATTACGGCTTATGCAACTCAATTCCTCAAAAATGGATTCGCTTGTTAAAAGAAACTAACCCAGACACACCCATGAATTTAGAATATGTGGGGGAAATACCTTTAAGCAAGTTTTCCTGCTCTCTCTGGATTCGAATCTTCTGCCACATTTTTTTCGACATTTTGAGAATGTCACAAAATGTTGCTCTGAAAATATTTGAAAAAAATGTCTCAAGTGCTTCTTTTCGCCAATTTTATAATAAAACTGATGGGAAAATACTAAGGGAGATATTTCTTGTTGATTTCAAGTTAGGTTAAGACAGAAATATGGCTTTTGTGTTTTAGTGGATGTTCATGAAATGGCCAAAAATCAATACTAAATTAATTAATAATTAAATATGCATAACTTAGTGGTAAATGGCCATTTTTGGAGGGGTCCCCCTAACTTAAAAGGAATAAAATATTTTGACCTAATTTTTTGCCATAATCATTGACTTGCCAAACCCAACATTTGTGCCAAGTTTGAGTGAAATCGGTGATTTGAGCTGCATCACCTCCTGCCTGGTTCTGCCTGGTTTTCTCATGGACACACTCTTAAAAGTTGAGTTTGATTGTATTTCTCTCTACAGTGATTCTTCAGTGCGATGCAATATAATGGAGAATGTCCTTAAGAGCATTGCATCCCTGGTAAGTCATAAAGTCTGCATACGAGCCAAGTGGCCCATCAGGCCNAATGTCCCCGGCCAGGGCTCGAACCTGGACCGCTCGATCCGGAGACGAGTGCACTAACCGTGAGGCCACCGTGTCATATCATTACCCAAATTTTAATGTTTATCAGAAGTAGTTTTCCAAAGGGAAACAATAGGTATTTCTCTTAAATGTAAAACTGTAGCACTACTACTATGATATCTATGCCAATCTGCAACTTTGAGAAGTTTTGCACATGTTGTTAGCTAGGCCTAATAGACAGGGTCTTCTTCAACATGTACATAGATCCCATAGTGAGCCTTTAAAGCTCTGTAAAGTAATTAGGATGACTAGGCAAGATCATGGACTATACAGGTAAAACAGGAAGGCTCAGATACATTGTGATCAAGACTCAAAGAACAATGCTGAAAGAGGACTTTATTTCATTTTCTAGTTTCATACATAATGTATTAGAAAGAAAGGATGGAATTTTCTTTTAAAGTAAAGAGGTTAATTTTACACGAATGTTTACTTTGAGGCTAAGATTTAGTGTCCGGTGTCCGTATTATAGGGGATATTTTTATACGAATAATGTATCTATAAGCATTTTGCTGGCAACCAATGAACTCTCCATATTAGAGAGGTTGACGTCAGGAGAGGATGGACTATGCTGTTGTTTCAAATGGAAGTACATATTACTAGCAACAACAGAGCAACTTAAAAACTAGATCTCATCTTAGTGGCAAGGTATTGTCCAAATCATGCAACTAGTTACTATTATCTATACATACATACATACAATGTACATACATTCAGACAGACAGACAGACAGACATAAACTATATTTAAAAGTTTATTTAAACTTTATCTGTACGTTGTTAATCAGTAGCACATTTTCATGATTTGTTGCTGCTGTACGTATAATTTTTGTTGTTGCTGTGTTGCGTTGCAGGAGGAATTTGAAGATGACACAGCAAAGTCTCTGGCTGTTTGTCTCAACTTTTGCTTGGTAGATGATTTAATTACTTCATGTATTTTGAAAGACAGGTGTGTGACAATGAATAACTTTCACTGGTTATAGCTTATTTATCAGTTAATAATTGGCTTACTTTTTAAGATGATGTCGATGAAGGCCTCACAATCAAAATCACAGTGGAGATCAAGTAATACTCCTTCAATGCCTTCTAATTAACCTTTTTTGTTCAATTTAGAAATGCTATTTACTCTTTTAACTTTTCCCAAAATTCCACAGGCCATTACTACCATAAAAGTCCTAATGTAAAATGAAAAAGTTCATGTACTGGCTGCATGGCACTAATACAAAACAGTATCTTAAATTTTACCATAATACTTGATAGAAAGTGTTTGATCAAGAGAGATGTTTAGTGCAGCATATACATAAACTTATGCTATATAGAGTGGAAAAAGTTAATGCAAATGCTGTATTCTTAGTTTAATTTGTGGCATGAAATAAAATAGTTTTAAATATATTGACTCATCCCAGCCTTAGATTACAGTGCGGTTTACACTTTGTCTGACAAGGATTTAGCTGAAGAAAATGAATTGTTAGACATAATTATGGTGAATAACCTATTTAACAATTAGATTGTGAGCTTGAGATTTCTATCATGCATGGAAATTGAGAGTGAATAATCTAATTGTAGTATAAATCTGCTAGCCATTCAAAATTCTATCTAAAGAAAGGTAAGATGTGGACGCCATTTGGTCAACAACCAAACACATGCTAGGCTACTGACTATCTTCAACAGAATACATAGTGAGTAAAATAAATATTGATTTTGAAAAATTAGCACTGAGGAAGGGCTAGGCTTGAAACATCTGCTAAATACAGTAATTGACTTTTTGGCACTATTTTATTACTATCTAGAACTTTAGGTGGAGATTAGCATAGCCAATGAGAGAACGACATTCATGATACAACACTATTTAGATTGTGTGGTTCCAGAAAATATCCATACCCCCCCCACAGAGGGGTTTTTCCAGTTTGACCCCCCACCCCCCAGGATCTTCCGTTCCAGGGGGCTTCACAGAACTGCCGCCACCCCCTGGAATTTCCATGATTTTTCTACTTGGGGCCCCCCCTACACCTCGGAAATTCCATATCCATAAATAACAAGACTTAACTCCTTAAGTGTACTAAAATTCAGCCGCAGCTGTTTATAGTTACATTGTAGATGAAGACATACTTTTTCATGGTAGACTGCAGACGCAGCACGTTCCTTCATGTCATGTTAAAATGTTTGAACCAGCATTTGAACTAAT